CTTTCATGTTTACAAATGAATTTTTTTAAAATTTTCATATATTTATTTTCAACATTAAACAATTAATGTGCAACGCACGTTAACCACACTAGTGTTAAAACAAAAAATCTAAAATATTGTGATTTGCCATTTAATTTCGTCCACTACATGTCCAAACACGCCGGTAACTTTAGGGTCATCTCTTTGGAAGCAAGATTAGGGGCGTGTTTGGTCGTTTCAGACTGAAAATAAAATGGAGGAAAATTGATGAAGCCCATCTTCAAGGCTAAATTATACATTTCATCCTCAATCTTTATCCCTAGTTACAATTTAGCCCTCGACCTTTTTTGTAACATTTTTAATTTCAACCTTCAATTAATTAATGATATTTATCCCTTTTAAAGATTTTCAACCAAAAATTCTTTAGCATGCCTAGAAGAGATAAGCAAGGAAAAGACGATTAATGTAAAAAAATAGTAAGGACGAAAAATTAGTGTACACTTGGTTTGCATTTCACTTTTTACTTCTCAGCTATAAGTTTTCTATTTTGAGAGTCTGTTATAAGATTATTGAAAAACGTCTTTGATTTGTTATTCTGAAAAATTGTTTTCAAACACAGAAAATTGAAAAACATGTTTTGTTTAAAATTTTGATTAATTGTTTTCTGAAATTTTATTTTATGAAATTTGATTATTCAATAAAATAAAAAAATTTGGTGTTAATATATTAATTCATGAAATCTGATTATTTAGTAAAAAAAAATAGTTAATATATTATTAAGTAATATGTATATTCTAAGGTTTGTGAATTTTCCATTAAAAAAAAAACGCTTCAAAAGTAAAATAAAAACAAAAAATAAACTAAGATGTCAAATAAAAAAATTAAAAATTAATCATAGATTGTTCATTTAAATATATTTTTTTGAATTTTTATTTAAATAACTAATAAGAGTTTGAACTATTTTCATTTTTATTATTTTATAATTTTTAATTTCTATAATTTCATAAAATTTAATTTTTAGAATTCTATTTTTTTAGATTTTATTTTTTCAAATTTTTTACTTTTTTAAAATTTAAAAGTTATTTTTTTCTAAATGTTTATTCCCTATGATTTTTTATTTTTAAATTTTATTTAAACGTTATTTCCTTCATAATAGTTTAGAGTTTCTATTATAAGTTTGACCTTTCTCTCGAAAATGATTTTTTAAAGAATAATAAATTAAACAAATTTTGAGTATTTTGCAAAATAGAAAACTGAAAGCATCTAGCCTCCTTAAAAACTTAAAAAAAAAAAAAAGAGAGAAATTATTTCAATTGGTAATTGATTGTTGAAATGATTACAATCGATCTATATGCAATAAGAGTTGTTACTGTTAGATATTTTTTATCATTTTGCATGTTCATATTTTATTTTACGAATATTTTGCCACCTTGATTTGTATTTATCTCTACGCAACAAGGATCAACCTGTCCAGTCAGGTCGCATGGGTCAAGGGGACCGCGCCCCCTGTGGGGCTTTGGGACAACGCTCTCGAAAGAGAATTTTATTTTCAGAAGTCTTTGAATATGTTTGTTGCTGTTATCAAATCAATACATATGTTCGTTTTAAAGTTTCTTCCAACATATGCGTCCATTTATTTCAAGGGACACAGCTATTCAAATAATTGTCTCTATTTCTGTAAAAACAAAATTCGTTATTTATATTTTTCTCTCTTTCTCCTGACATCATCAATTTCTTTATAGAATGTCTTTTTGGTTTGATCAAATAGTCACAGTTTAAATTAAACGCTTTCATTGTATCTCGAAAGAGATTTTCTATCATACCCGACTTTGTTGGATAGGAGAGAAACATCTCTTAAAAGATAACGATTTTCGTACCTTGAAATTCATTAGTTTGTTCAGATTTTCCTACATATTTCCCAACAGTTGCTCATATAATGAGTTTACACAACAAATTTATAAAATGTAGGTGCTTTAAAAGTTCCATCTTTCACCCGTATCCGTAAAGAAATCCAAACTCTAGCATGCCCATCCCCCGACCACCAATGGCGACCACTACGAACATATCAATTAACAATCAACAAATTAGAAGCTTCAATTAAAAAAAATATATATGTATACCCATGAAGTGTCGTTCTCACCGAAGCATATACCATCTGAAATAAATAAAGCAGAGAAAAAACCAGATCTGAAAACACACACTAACAGAAACTAATAATGAAGTTGTGCGCGTGTCTCGCCGGCCCATTTCAGCCATCGCCGCCGCTGAGCCACCAATCTCTCAAGAGGTGAAGTAGAACACAGGCTGCAGAACGAGATACAAACAGAGGAAGCAGGCACTAGAAAATGTCAGGAAAACCAGTCCATAAAGCATTCTGAGACCCATTCACTGTCGAGATTTCAAGATCTGAGGAGAGAGAGGAGTTCTGAAAGAAAGAAACAAATGGATTATGAATGCCAATGGATAAGATCTTTATTCAAAGTCCCACTTGACACACTGGAGGTCACTGAACTTTCCCTCTAGTTACAATCAGGTCCCTGTACTTTCTCTCGTTGCAATCGATCGCTAAATTTCAATAACATTTAAGTCATAAATCATGTAATCTCACCCCGACAACTATCATACGCTTTCTTACATCTTTGACTTATAAACAATTTCCTTTAGCTTTTATTAACGTATCGACAATAGTAATGAAAATTGACGAGTACAGAAATTCCGCAACACTTACATCCTAGATGCAAATTGTAAATAAATTACTTAAATACTGTATGTATGATTAACTAACGTTGACGTTTTGATTAACATAGTTCAACAAAGTGTCGAAGTAAAAATAGAAATTTTAAGTTCTATGGTTGTATAATATGAAGATTCAATATGGTCACGAGGATACATATATCAAGAGACCCATGTATACTAGAAAGATATGTCATTTGATCCTGCTTGATATACAGTGAATTCGCTAGCAGTCCACTTGAACAATCGCGTAACATTTTTCGTAGAATCAAAATTGCGATTGACTCTTAAGGACAAGGAAAGTCAAAAGGGGAAGTCCTTCATTGTGGAAGGTGCAAATATCATGTTGGAAAAATGAATGGAGTCTATGGAGATGGAGAGGCAACATGGCACAAGCTACGAATAGGAGTTTAAACAAATATATCGTAGAGTTAAATAGTCAAAGGACGAAGGAAGGAAATATGGAATGGACCTCATAAAACTTGTTTTAGATTACCTTAATATCTAATTTTCCTCTTGCCCTTGAGAAGAACTTGAGGTGGCCGACGGGGTTCTTACATGAAAGATGGAGCGAAGTGGGGGTTGAGAACAAGGTGAACGCCAATTTACCATTTCAACAAAAGATACAAAGAGAGACTCTCTTTCAATCTCTCTAAAGCCCAGCCTAAACCACTAAATAAATAACAAATAGCCCCCCAGGGCACATCCAAGTTGGCAAATGAT